GCGTAGCAAAAATTTATAAGTGATATTTTATGGGAAGATTTATTATTGCAGAATTGTATCTGGTTTATTTCGCGTGAAACAAAATTTTATTTGTATATGTTATAACTGGACTAAGGATTTTATAACAATTTAGTGTAGTTATAACAATTTAAAGACAAAATCGGAATAATTTATAAGTGTATAAAATGATATCGCCGGTGAATGGTTCACGTGCCAGGAAAATTTTCGTACGTGCCACCGCTGGTACGCGCGCCATAGGGTCGCCATGAACTGGTCGATTGAGTTCACGAATGAAGGATATGATAGTGGTAGTATGTTCGTTGATCGGTAGACTGTTGGACGTTTATGGATAGATCGCCGCTATTTATGTAAATTAAATATCCATAAATTTACTAAATTTAAATTTTCATAGACCAATTTACAGAAGTCAATGTATGTCACAGATTTGTTCCATTTACTAAAAATTTCTTTGTTGTCCGAAAGTGAACTTCATCTTTAATCTTCACGAAAACTTTTTACTGCCATATTTTGCGGGCGTTCACATTTACGATAGACAACGTATACTAATAAATGAAATATTCGTGAAATAAACGAATTCCTGACAGAATTTCACAATGAATTAGCAGAAAAATTGCACTTTCTATTTATTGAAATGTAGAAGTTAGATCCAAGACAATTTTATTTGCTCTGTTAGAGGTACTGCCAAGTAACAATATCAACTGGATGATTAAAAAAATAAATATTTAAAAAGACCTTTGGCTCGTGGCGGCTTGTATTTTGTTCAGAAAAAAAACTGGGTCTAATCCGAACGGTTGCTGTTTTGACGGGTCTGTTAAAAAAAAAATCAAGCAGCCTATCGAATCCCCGTTAATTCATTAGAAAAAAACCAGTACAGAAAGGTTGGAAATCACGAACAGAGTGGGAAAGTAAAAAAAAATGAGTGAAAGAAACAAAAAAGTGGTACATTTATTCAGCAGTTTTCCGGTCACAAAGTTCCCTTGGAGTGGAGGAGCGACACGGAAAATGTTGGTTCCCCTCGAAGCATCGTCGGATGTACACGAGCACGGGACGCAAAAATTAATCGGGAGATGGTCGCTCTTCCCACCGTCCACTGGCCCCGTTTATTTAATCGGTTATTCGCGCGAACGATTTATCGGTCCGCCGTGATTAATCATTATCGGTGTTATCTCGAGAAACGTTGCTCGTTTAATCGGCCCGGGAAATACGAGCGGATTAGGCTAACCACCGATTCCGAGTTTGTTCCTCGACGAGAAAAAAATAAACAAACACAGACATTCGTTACATCGAGAACCCTTAACTGTTAACCTTTTAATGCCCAGCCCCGTGAATCGTTATTTCAAATTTACGAGATTGATATATATGTTGTACTTATCTTGTTATTTTGAAATCGAAAATATCGATATTAAATAGACCTATTGTTTTTACCTTTTTTATTTATGCTTGGAGAGAATACTTGAATTTCTCCACCAAAAACGTAGATATCTACTTCAAATCAGTGAAACTACGAATCCTTCCCGATAAAATTTTGATATAAATTGGGACGAATCGATGCACTTTGAAACTGAGCGTTGCACCGTTGCAAAGTAAAGTCAAAGGGTTAAATCGAACCTTGCAAACCACGTTCTGTTCACCACGGATACGGAAGAGTTTCGCAGCTCCGATTAGTAATTTCTTCCCCTCATATCTGTTATCGATGTATGCTCATAAATCGTTGGAATATCCCTTTATTAAAAAAAAAAAAATAACAGAATAACGATGATGAAGAATGGAAATGTTAACATGACATTGAGTAGCGCGAACACGAGTGACGTATTATACTATGAAATTATTTAGCCGGTTGCGATTTTGATTTGTGGTCCGCATTGGTCCGACGCGGATACGGATTTCGGAGAGTGGCAAGACCACGTGACAGAAAGTCGATGGGAACGTCGCTGAAAATTAATGAGCCAATCGTTGTGTAGCCCCGCTAGTCAAGCCACCCCCACCTACCCCAAATCCGTTCCGCGAGTAATTAATGACCCGCGTGTTCGTAGTTCTTCGCGGCACTCTGGGGACTCTTTCTTCGAAGTGAAATTCTCGGAGAAAAAACGAATACTGTAGCAGCATCTGGAAATTACGATGTTATAGACAATGCGAAACTTAACACTAGAACTACCAAACCCGTCAAAATGACGGATTTCTTATTATAGGATTACTGAAATTATAATAATGCTTTAGACGAAATTTACATTGGCTTCTAATTTACTACACATTGTATATTCCTATATTACGTTAAATCGTACTATGTATTATGTATATTACTATATTATACAATGTAATTTAATATACATTCAATGCTGGTAGTCCTAGCGTTAAGCATAAACTTCGATCAATTATTTTTTCACCGAACTGCACCGAATACGGTACGTCCAAATAGATTAATCGTTAAAAACACCTCGAGAGTAACTCTCACCGAAGTTGAACGTCAGACGGACAGGGGTAGATGGTATAAGGTGGCGCGGCGGCGGTCATGAATCATGGGAAGGGTAGGAAAGTTGGAGTCGACGGCCGGCTGCTTAATGAACCATTGACGTGTCCGGCGAAATCGGTGTGTGTGCGTGTGTGTACATACCTGTCCGTCCGTAATTAACGTAACGGGCTGCCCCACCGTCTCCGGCTGACTGCCACGGAAATCAAATGCGTCCATATATACGAGGAGCGGCGTAATTAAGGCCTCTCCCAGGCGAAGAACAATAACGGCTCTGTGCCCGCATGTAGAGATCGTGTTCCTGCGTACGATGACGAGTCTGTGATCGACCTCGGCCAGGCTGTCGATCTGTGACGTCGCCGTTCAACCGTGAAAAACGTTCCTGAATTCTGCTCGTATCGGTATCATTTTCGTAGGAGCGTTGGAAAAATGAGAAAGCAGAGATTGTTGAGCTAAAGACTTAATGGGAGGTTGTTCTGTATAAAGACTCCAGAAATGGACGATCAATTCTGGAAAAACGCTCACTGGCGCCGTTAAGTCAGTTTCTTTTAATTTCCCACCATATGGTGGCCCATTTTGCATCCGAAAAATCTGTTGTACATTTCTCGATATTCACACCGGTGGGAACGAGCGAAATCTGGAGCAGCCAGGGTTGATCGATTCGTCTCGAAACCACCTTCAGGTTTCGTGGGTGTCCTCAATTTCGTGTCGGTCGTGTGCACCAAGGTAGAGAGACAGAGAAACTAGTACCCCTGAACTCGACGAGCCCCAATAATTCACAGGCGAATTCTATGCTGGCACGAAAACACGGGCTGAACAAAGCCCCGTGTCCCCGAAGCGGACAAAGGGGAGAGGGAGGGTCAGCCGGGATTGACCCGGTCCGAAAGTTCCGTTCCTCTCGCTTCTGGCATCCTGCGCTCTGCCCGTTTTCTCCAGGACACAGACATTCTCTGTCCAGATTTTCCTGCCTCGACCACTCGACTTGTACTACGCGTACGTCTTACCCTGTACTTCGTGTCCGCAGCTCCGATGAATGCGCATCGAGTGGAGTGTTTTTTTTTTCATTTTGAGGCTAGCTAACTAAGAAATCCTTTGGTCGTTGAGAAATGTGGATGCATAGTGGTGAAAAATCGGTAAAAATTCATCCACTACAACTTGAGTTTTGAACTGTGTTTTTTTAGTTGGCCAGACAAGTAGAATAACCTTGCGAGTGGCGGGCAAGTAGAATGTATCCACTATGGTCAGACAAGTAGAATACGTTTGGTGGGCAAGTAGAATAATGACAGTACGGCCATGCAAGTAGAATAGGTTTGCAACTGTCGGGCCAAGCACATTGAACGCGCTGTGTCGAGATAAGTGGAATAGGTTGGCAGTGGTCAGACATATATAATATCTTAAGGTGCGTATCCATTTCGCGGTCGGTTCGGGTTCGGTTTGTCAAGAATATTCGGTCTATGGGCCACGTTCCACGCGCTGGTGGGAGGGCTCGTGTACCTTAAACCGCATGCAAATTAATGCCCACCCTTCCGCGGGCAGTAAAGTGCGGGTAGAGTGAGTATAGGCGAACCATACGTGTGTAATGGCTCGGAGAGAGGGGCCGTAGAGGATGGCCGAGAAACCTCTTTGCGCTAATTATGGATTCCGTTCCTTCGCCGCCTGGTGCCCCGTTTAATCGTTGATTCTCTTTTTAATCGTTCGTTTCAGCTGCTAAAGAGGACCGTTTAATTAATATTCCGGCCCCCCGAACGTCGTTAACTCGTTTCTTCACCACCCTTCTTCTTCCATTTTCGCTTCATGTGCTTCTTCTTCTACACCCTTCGTTTCATGCCCTTCTTCTTCTTCCTTTTTAGTTGTCTCCTGTCCACGAGGTCGACGTTTCTTCCTCTTGCGAGCGCCTTCTTGAAACCCTGCACCGTCGCTCCCGTAGATTACATTTCTGCTTTTATAGGCCCCATCGCCCTTGCGACGTTCCTTTTTTTATCCCGCTGTTCATCGAAGAAGCATTTTACGGTAATCCGTGGGTGACAAACGGAGGGGGATGAAGCACCGAAAACGTTACCGTCCGTGAATGACGAGGAGGAGATCGCCGCGATAAATACAGAGAGTGATCCTTTCGTGATTTTGGTTAGCAACGGGGACAGAGTTTTCCTTCGAAGGAGGAATGATTGGAGATTTTAGATTTTAGTTATGTCCATGCTATAAACACAGTTCGCTCTGAGTTTACGATCTTAAGATAAACCCTGCAAATCGTTAATATTCTCTAAACGATGCAACAAAATAAAATACTAAGTAGATCCACGAAACGATTAGTCCAGACAATCCCCAAAACAATTCAGGAGCACCTTTCAACAATCAATGAATTCTTTTACACTCATCCTGTCCTCTGGAACGGCAATTGTTAACGCGAAAAATTATCCAACGACAGGAGGAGCGCTACTCGAACTCTCGGAAGGTTAACGAGAATTTTTCTGTATCTTTTTTTTCTTTCTTCTTCGTTCCCAGGTAGGCCAAGATGGACGTCGAGGCGGCTCTACTGGAGAACTCACCGACACTGTCGACCATCTCGTCGGACTGCACGGACACGACGTACTCCGGTCCCGGCTCGCCTTACTCCCCGGAATCGCCGATCATCGTCACGTCCGTGTGCAAAAAGACGAGGGTTGACGAGGACACGCCCAGGCCGACACCGAGGCATCCGACGCCGCCCAGGAAGCCGAATTTCCGGATACGACCGCCCTACCTTATGATCTGCATCAGCATCGTCGAGGTGAGCCTTCAGCATTTATTTCGTTCTTCGAAGTCGAAAAACGAATATTCAACACGGAGAGTTACGATTTTTTCTTGAAGCATTATACTGATCGTAGTTGGTTTAAGAAAAAAAACTTATTCAGGGTTGGTTAGAGACAGTTCCAGAAAATGGTATCATTGTTCTCTTAATAACTTTTTAATGAACAACATTTGATAATTGAAACTTTCTGAAGGTCACTCAGCAGGGTAACCCTTGGCAACATATGTCTACAGTATACTTTTCGAGACGAACAGAAGGAAAGTAACTGTTCTTCTTTTTTAAGAAAGAAGGAAACCTTTTTTATTAGCACACTTTGGGTGAGAAAGATTTATTTTGTGAAGATACTAATTGGGCTATTTCGATGATTTGTAAGTGCGGGGAAATTGGAGTGACGTGAATTTAATCGATGGCAGATTGAAATTGTCCGTTCGAATTGAATTTTCCGGTCGATTAGACGCGTCAGCGGAATTAGCGAGCATTTACAGATACAATTTAATTTCGATTACAGTGAACACTGTTGTCCTTTGAAAATACTCCTCTACAAACCTGTAAAATTCCAGAAAAAAATCAGAATTTTTCGGTTACCAAAGTTCCTTTGTAAGATGAATTTCCGGTAATATGGGTCTCTATCGTCTCGACTGTTCGATGGAAACAGGGTTAATAAACTAGCATCACAAAACACACAGAAACACACAGACACACGCACATACTGTCTTCTCGACCCATTCTGCCTCGACTCAATCGATCCTGCATACCAAGTATCAGCTTTGAAGAGAAACTTCTGACGGCGAAGAGAGTGCACACGGCGCGAAGACACAGGGATTCTGTGAACAGGAGCCCGAAAGATTTCCCATTAGTCGGACTAATGCGTCGCGGAGAGATGTGGGGGTTGAGGGATCTTCTTTCTCTCTCTCTCAATTATATGCACGAGTTCACGAACGAACGTCGTACTGGTATTTCAAGAAACTCGTGCTCTCGGGGTATCGGGGACGTAGGAAAAAGTGAAAAAAGTAAAAGGAACGAGAACGAAAAAAATAACAGAGTAAGAACGGAGGGCAAAGAAGGAGAGGAGACGTTCTCCGACAAATCCCCACGATTCCTCGATAGTAATTCCCAGAGAAGGTTGTTCTCTACTGCTCAAATTAATGTTTATTATTCAAAAAATTTGTTGTCTGTATTGTACTATTTACTACCGATCGGTTATATCTACGGAACTTTGAATTCAAGCGACTTGGAGTCAACTTACTTGAATTCAAGCAGCATGGAGTCAACATACATAACTTGCAGTTAACTAACTTGATTAACGTGAAGGAGGCTTGACCACATAAAGTCGCCTCGATTAAGTCAGAAACCATACTCGACGCGGAAGGTTCAACAGGGGAATTCTTTCCTGTAACACACACGCGGGAGAACAGATTTCCAACGATTCGTCGAAAAGAGCCGGAACTAATCGCTGTCTGCACGGCCGTCCAGTTTCCCGCGATCAAACGAATGATAATGCATCCAGAGGGGTTTTAATGAAACGCTGAGATAGCGGAAACGGGCTGAGTATCCGGTTACGTGGTTGCTGGTAGACTCCCTTTCTCTTTCCCGTCGAAAAGTCCGAACCCATACTACCCAGCCGCGGTTATAATCGGCGGGGTTTCCCCGGTAATATCGTGAGAGATAGGATAACGAACGCGATAAATCAAAAGTAGCGGTCTACCCGACCAGAGCCACCGTAAATATGGCTCGTTAGAGGGTTCCCTAATAAATCACACGGGAAAGTTTTCCAAGTCCGTCCGAGAATCGGCTCCAATTGCCGTTTTCAGCTGTGGTTTTTACGGGGTAGACTTCGCAGCGAGTCGTCGGGAACCACGAGTTAATAGCTCTTTTATTTACGGCGGGAAATTCGAAAGCGTGATCCATGAGACGGGCCCGTGTGGTGTAAAACGGAGAAAGCGTGTTTGAGGAGACGTTTCGGGGGGAGTTCGATGGAGAAATGATTGATGAAAAGTGGTTTCCAGGGTAGTTTATAGGGTGATATTTTTAGGGATCGTAAGGGAAATTTCTTGGAAGATGTAAATTGTGTGGAAATCGATTGAAATTGTATTTTCTATATTCAAATAATTCTGAAAGTATTGTTGAAGTTTGTACGAAGATTTTTTTGCGTACCTTAAACGTATAATTCGAGCAAAAAATATCGTAGAATGCGGTTGAAATTTATTGAACGGAACCACGCTTATTACGCCAATCGTAGAGGTGTAATACTAGCCATGCAGCCTGATAAATTCAAAATAATATCTAGAACGATGAAGATTAAGTCAGGCAGGAAAAGGTGAAACGTTCCATCGTTCATAGGATCCCTGGAAAATCGTCTGCCCTTTGATCGCCCAAGATCGCGCGAACTGCCCCAGGTCAGCTCGAAAAGATAATAATTGCCTCGAAGTTTCGGGCGTCGTTGTGGCACCGTAGAATGCGTCCAATCTCGAATGGCCGAACTTAAAATTGCGGGAAAATGTAACAGGAGGGGAGGGGATAGTAAAACGACAATAAACGTTCCACGGGCTAATGAAACGTCGAGATACGCCCCATAGACGAGACCCACGGTGCCTCGATCCTCTCGCGGTAACGATCACCGCTGTGCCGTTCATCTTTCTCGAGTTTAATCGAAACAATCCCGAGGACCACGATTGCCTGGAAAATTCTTTGAATCGTGTGCCATACTAGCCATCGAATTTTCTCTGTTAGAGTGTAAAACTTGTGATGGAGTGAAGGGTTTATTTTGTATTTCTAGACAGGTGATTCGATTATGGATGAATGAGAAATTTTTATTGTTTATATCTTTTATTCTAAAAATTGTCTCAGTTTCAAACGACATATATAAGGAATCAATTAATAATTAATAATTCATTGAAATCTGCGAACAATTCCAGTGTTCTTATAACTGCCACCTCAAAAATTAAAGTAATTCTTATATACTTGAACAATTCGTTTCGTATAATAGATATAGATTAAATAGTAAAATCACGGCTCTTGAATGAAATTTCTCAAATGAAATATACTTAATACGATACCAATAGTTATATCACAGACACAGAAAGTTTTTTAATCGAAAACAGCTTTGTATCCGTTCCTAATGTAAAAGATGTTCTTGGAATGTCTGATTATTCGAAGTTAATACCACTTTCATCGACGGGTCGAGAGTGATCCCGCAGTCGCGTGTTGGAGATAGGGTCGTTCGTGTGAAAAAAAAATCAATAAAAGGTCGTTTGATAACGACAGGTGTCCCGTTGACAATTATTCGCACCGACGAAAATCGCGGATCCGGCCGGAAAAAATTGATGCCTCGTCGATGTTTTGACGTCCGTTTTGTCGATCCTCCCGATTGAGGGATTATCGTCACCGCATAGCGGAAATTTATTCCAGTCCGATTCACAGATCACGGTAAAATCGACGATATAGGCACGTAATTAAATAAATAATCCAAAATAAAAAATGTTGATCATCCGATGAAATAAAAATAGCGATAATGATAAATAATTTAAAAATAAAAACTGTCACTTTATAGTACCGCTAATCAACCAAAGTTCTTCCTTCACCTTCAAGGTAATATCCTTATTATCTTACCATAATCTTATGGAATTATTGTTAAGATTAATAATAATCGATACACACATAAAATGTTGCAATTCACAAATTGTCGATCTACTGGCAGCGATGAAACGAGATCCAAAACAGGGAGGGTTGTTAGTCAAGTGGTCCACCCACTAGCCATATAAACATCATACGTAACTCTTGCCGAGAAACGTGATCGATTACAAGTGGTTCAGGTGTGCGATTCAGATTTCACGATGGTAAACCGGCTGGGTCGATCGGTGTGTGTACATATAAATCATAGGTTCCCAAAGTGGATGCTACCGTATTCTAGTTATTTTATTTTCTTTGCTTTCAATTTAACTTTGTAAGATCCAAACATTACATGCGGAGATACATTTAGAAATTTTACAGTGAACCGAAGCACTTTTGCTCACCGTGGAAACGGTACCATAGATAGAAACAAAAGTGGCTTGGCACATAGGGAGAGAGAGCTGGGAGTGCAATATGAAAATTCTTTATTGCCGTCAGTGGCCAGAATTTTCGCGTGGATACCGACGTTTTCTCCAAGATGGCAAGCATAAAGGCCCACGTTAAGCGCGAAACCAGACTGGAAACCTCGGCTGGCGGGTCCGTAAAAGCCGTGACGTCGAAATGGATGGCCATGAAAGGCCGCCCAAAAGCG